TTGAGGCCACCCTATCCCAGCCATATTATTCACATATCGAGTCCCAACAGCAACAGTGTAGGGATGAGCACGACAGTGCAGGTGAGCATGAAGGATGGACAATCTTCGAGGATTTTAGATTGGGAACACAACAAAACACTAACACTCAGGGATTTGGGAATAGTCAGACGCCTGCTAATATCGATGATTCGTTTTAGATCGAATCAATGAATTGTTAAACGAATTCAATCAATGGCACCAGCGTGACCAAGAAGAACAATAACGTCGTCTATCATTTTATTTTTAGATCATATGTTACTAATTTTATGCTTTATTGTAGTCCATGTATGTTGATATACTTATTCTATGATAATTATATGTTTATCCTTTTGTGTGATGTAAATTAAATGCTGAATGGCGGTTCATGCAGGGAAAGAACATATCAATATTTGCATATTCATTAAAAAACATGAAAATTCTTAATGGTGTACCCTCATTTCTTATTGAATTCCTAAAAAACAATATTTATAATGAATTTTAATAATTTTTTCGAATTTTTATTAAGCTTTATTATGACCGATTCGCCCGATTCCCGATCCGGATCGCCGATTCACCGATCCGGATCGGTTTTTTGGAAGCCCGATCCGGGTCATCAATCTGTTTTTTAAACCATTGGGATCACCACATGTGGATATTGCAAACATAGGAATAGAGAATCCTACATGGTTGGAAACATACTGAGACCCCAGTCCAAGCCCATGCATCAATACATCACTGGCAAACCTATGCAACTGCTGAAAGGTGACCTCCATATTGCTCTTAATCTTTTGGAATCGTCCCAATGATCATCCATGGATAAGGGGTAACCTTGCTAGTCTAGCAAGCCATTTTAGTGCACGGAATTCATCGTTTCCACTATCAAGGGTCAAGTGCATCATGCCAAGAAGATCACGAGTATGGCAAGTATATTGTCTCTATTTCATCATTGAATAAAATAAAAAAAGAAAAACATGACTCTCCCCTGAACATATCTCAAATACAACCAATGCTGATAAAGGAGAGGACATGCTCCAAAAGGGGCCCCATTCATCATGATAAATTAGCCCCATAAAAGACTTTGGCAGCCCTGATGTAAAAACCTCTTGTCACCCAATTTGAAAATCCTTTTGGAATATATTATCTCCAAGGCCTCCTACACGTCACACATGAATAGTTACTGCTTTCTATCTTACTCGTTGGACCATCCATAGTAGCCAGTTCTTACAACACTCATTTTAGCTCATCAGAGATCTTGTTCTATAAAGATGGTTGCTCAATGAAGATTTTATCTCAAACAAACAACCATCCAAAAGTTCCCACTTACCTAGATCGGTGGAGCAGTTGTAAGCCCCTGCAGGGCTATGAGACCATGACAACCAATCCATCATCTCTTAGGAAGGAAGATCCTGAAAAATCTAACTAACAAGTGTGGTTCTCATACCACATGTTTATAATTTACCAAAAGTCTCAAGTAAGTTTGGGAAGCAAGCAACCTTGTATGCTTTCATGTTTGCAGAACTTCCATAATTATCTATGCAACCAAACTAAATTTGGCAGCAGTTGGAAATGATTGTTTTCCCTAATTCATTCACTAATTTCTTGATACAACTAATCTACCTCATTAGCAGTAAGCCCTGCGTTTACCAAAGTAAAGTTTTCAGGGGTATGTACACTATCTTTAGGTTATGGACTAAATAAGGGCTGGCTTTCACCAAAAGCTAAATTTTAAAAGTTCCGTATGCATGGGTACGGCATTTTACTATTTTTAGATCAGCTAAAGCATAGCTTAAGAAATAAATGCCCATATCAATATGAGAAAGCAAACACAAAATACACAAAGGAAAATGCCTTAACTTCTCACAATAACACAAGGTTGCAGGTTAACATGTATAAAAAAAAAGAGTGTGTGGATGTGTGAATGTTTTAGAGAGAGGAGAGAAGGGTGGGGGTAGGGGTGGGGGTGGGGATGGGGGCATATAGACATACAAAAATGAGCATTATAAGCATAGGAGAATGTAACTTGCCTGCCCATGGCATCATAAGCGGCAGCAAGGTTGCTGTAAACGCCCAATGTATCAGGATGAAATGCCCCACACTCCTTCTCCAATATCACCTTTGCCTCCGCGAACAGCTCAACCGCTTCCTTTATTTCAAACCTTTGTACGCATGTCAGCCCCATCTGGTTCAAAACCACCCCAAAAAAGGCAGAGCCTGCCTCTCCACCTGCCCTCATCTTTGCCACCACAACCTTAAACGTATCATATGCATCCCCATACCTAATATAATAACAAAATGAATAGGGAAGAATGTGAATAGAATTGCGCAATTAACCTTGAAAGGATTTCTGTAAACATATTAATGATTGAACCATAGTCCATGGCCAAGTAATGAGATCGTATAGAGAAGCCACAAATATGTCACACCGCATCCTAAAATGGTTTCTATGCACATTATGATAATCAAAATACTCTTATACAAATCTAGCAAATAGAATGAAAAGATGATCAGGAGAATGTGTAGGCCTTCTCAAATGAATCATAAAAGGGTTAGTATGATATACGAAACAACTCTCACACAAAGCAACAGTGCGAACCATCCTGTTTAGATGTAATTGTTCTCACGGATAATTCACTATTTCAATAGATTAATTCGGGTAATGAATTACCTGTTATTTGGTGGCATCAGTGATAAAATTATCGGAGATAGGCAGTACTTGAATAAGTTTCTCTTTTTGACAAGTTATTTTTCTTTATTCAAAGAAATTTACTAAAATTTTAGTCAGAAATAGCTAAAAATATCTCCAAAATACTGAAGAAGTTAATTTTAGATAAGATAGTATATCCGAGACAAAATTGACTATCATTCAAACAGGCCCTCAAACAATACCTTCCAACCATATAATAGACCACCCCCATCTGGGCTTCGATGCCTGCAACTTGGCCCTGTCGACCTGGTGCGACTGAGCCATCCATCATTCGCACTGCCTTTTGCAAGAGTTTTACGCTCTCATCGAGATCGCCCATGGCCTCATACACAGCTGCCACCTCGGCCAGCCCTGCACCAAATGTTTGAAAACCATGTTATGCTGTTATAATTACCCATTAGATCATTATAACGTTTCGAAAGACAATTTAAAAGAGAACCATTTGAAAAGGTTGCATTGGCCTCAAACGTTATAACAACCACCCGTTACCTGCCCAAAACCCTACTCACCTGCTGCTACATCCTCTGTCGCGGTTCCTGGCACTGGCTTGGCGTAGACCCGCAGGGCGCTCTCACAGTAGGACCTTCCCTCCCGCATCTTCCCCGTTCTCTGATACAAATCGGCCAGCCGCACCATCACCGTGCCAACCGACAAATGGTTCTCCCCCCTCGCAGCCTTGAATACTGTCAGAGCCTTCTGGTAGGCAAACACCGACTCATCGTATCTTCCCATCCCCAAATAAGAATCCCCAATACTAACATCAATAGCAGCAACCTCCTCATCAAACCCGTTTGCCGCTGCTGCTACACTTGCGAGGACCAAATGCTCGAGTGCAGCCTCGTGATCCCCCATGGCTTCGCAAATTAAAGCCATCAGCCGCCTGTCGGAGGCTTCCTCGGCTGAGGCAGGGGCGCTGTGCTCCTTATGAATTGCCAGACAATGTTTCACAAGCTCGGCTGCCGCAGGCAATTGCATGATTTGGGCCTGTGCCTCAGCCAAATACCGACATGTTTCGGCGACACGAGGGTCGGTGTCTCCTAAGGCCTCTTTCTGGACCGCAAGGCCCAGAGTGTAGCTTTTGATTGCGAGATCTTGACTGCCGAGCATCGCATAGGTGTCGCCGAGCTGCATGTGGCCGGAGAAGGCAGCGAGAGCGTGGTCCGGCCCCAAGTTAGGGTCTGGAATCGAGATGGATCGCTCGAGGATGGGGACGGCCTCAGCAAACTGGCCAAGGCCGCAGTGGATGGCAGCAAGAACATGGAGAGCCATCACAAGGTCAAGGCTAGGGCTAGGGCTTTCTGCATTGCAGAGCTCAAATGACCGGGCAGCACGCGCAGCACAGTCGAGGGCCTTGGAGGGGTTGTCCCCAGAGGCAATTAAGTCGCGGGCGAGTTTAAGAAGAAAGGGACCGAGATCAGGGTTGTCGAGACCTAACTCCTCTTCATGCTCAACTGCAGTGAGAGAGAGTCTCTTCTTCTGTTGGGAGGAAGGAGAAATTGACGACTTTTTGGAAGGAGAGGGTTTGGACTTTGCAGGTGATGGAGTGTTTGGATCTGGCGACGTTTTCGACGCCATTTTTGGGGTTTCAGAGACTAAGCCAGGCATGCCGTGGAGATTTTAGAGAGAGAGAGGAGTAGGTGTTGTGTGAGATAGTTGCAGAGAAGGGGTTTTGAAGGGTGTGGGAAAGGTGAAAATGGGAGGGAGAAGTTTCTTTCCTATTTTTGCTTTATTTGGTGCATTAAGTCTTTCAAATGGGAGGAGGTAGGACTTTTCCTTTGATTGCTTTAAGGTGATGGACCAGCAGTATCAGCATTTTTTTGTTTTGTTTTGTTTTGTTTTGTTTTGTTTTGTTTTGGGGGGGCCTTTTATGCTTCCTGTTTGCTTGCAAGCAACTCAATGGAGACAGCCCACCATCACTCCTAAAACCTAAATTCATGAATTGGTGTAATTTGCTGCATCTCTTTAAAAGTCCAAAACATTATTAGGTTTGCTTTTGGTCTCACGCCCACCTACTTTCTCACCTTTTTTTACGGTTTAAACTTGGAATTATGGGTCTCTCTCTTTACAGTTTTATTTGGAGTTATGGGTATCTCTCATTAGCTGCTTAATTTTTGTTTTATTTATGTTGTAGAATCTCACAAACTTTGTTTGGTAAAATAATGAAGATGGGGCACAAGTTCTTAGTTGCTGAAGCTACTTCAGGAGAGAGAGAGAGAGAGGGGGAAAAAATGGGGGAGAAAATGAGGGAGAGAGAGAGAGCAGGGGACTGAGGGGCCGCCTGCTACTGAGAGAGAAAGAGAAAGGGGATGGTAGAAATAGTAACCCGCTCGTATTTCTTTATCAAGAGAACCGCTTACCGTTTGATCTTAGATTCGACATTTTAAAATATTTTATTTTTAGTTGTTTTATACAAATTGTATGAATGTGAAATTTTGTAAGTGCTACTTTTTCATTCAGACACACCTATAAAAAATATTTAAAATAATTTTTTGATAAAATATAATTATCAAAATACCTCTTGACGCTTTTAAAAGTATTTTGATCATTTTTATTTTATTAAAAATATTTGTTTTATATTTAAGCTAATGCGATTTTAATAGAAGAATTGACGTTCAAAATTTGGTGTCAAAATAGTTTATAAAAAAAAATTAAAAAAAAGATAGTGTAAAGACTTGACATTGTGATTGAGGCGGTCTTAACCCTCCATTCAGAATGGACGGTCGGATAAAAGGGGATAGAACTTTTTGCTACAAGGGACGTAAAAAAGCTTGCCCAAAAAATGGTGGCCCTTTGTGTTTATTAAATTATTAAATTAATGGATTAATAGTTCACAATAAGAGATTTCTGAGATTTTAAAATCGTTGTGCTTATGACATTTCCAGCTATTGTTAATTAAGTAGCTAGTTGCATGATTTTGGCCAGCTATTTGCGATATTGCTATTCGCACCATTGCTTTTGCTATCTGCACCCAAAACATGAGTGAATATATTTTTCTAGCCCCAAATATTGGTCCATGTAGCTTCTAAATGATAAATGTGGGCAAATAGCAATCCCATTAAATGTTCTCTCTTCTGATTTATAAAGGACTTAGTTATCAACTTTTCAAATGATTGAAGTGCTCCACATTATTGTTGACAAATATTTGTTTTTTTTGTTGGTAAAAAAAAAAAAACTCAAGAGTACACTCTCGATGCAACTTAACCCCAATCTAACTTTTTTTTCTTTTTTTTTTTTTCAAAGTACATTTTCTAGGCAAATACCCTCAATCAAATAAAAAAAATAAAAAAATACCTAAACTACCTCGGTACTATGTAAAATGCTCTTCCACAGTTGCAAAAGGCGGTTCGGCAGCTATAAAGGGCGGTGATCCAACAGCACTCAGTTTTTATCTGGCACTTGTCTTAAGGCGTTTCAACAGCACTCAGTTTTTGTCTGGTAGTTGTCTTAGGGCGGTCCGGCACTTATGCGGGTCCAAAAATCAATATGAAATCTAGCCAAAATGATTCTTGTGTAAAAAAATAGCATTTCCATCTTAAAAAAAAATGAACTTTTTACTTTTGAGGTATTTGCCTAGAAAGTTTGTTTTGGAGAAAAAAATGAGTTAAGTTGGATAAGTTGCATAGAAAACATCGTCTTTGGTTTTTTTTTTTTTTTGTAATTTTCCTTCGTTTTTTTCTCGTCCATATTGTATGCTCCTTGGAGTATATTCATCAACTGATTGCTCTCTTGCTCTCCATTCTCTTGTCTGCCATGGTTCCCTTTATCAACTGATTGCTCTCTAATTTGCATTTGAAGTTTAACCTAATGAATCCTTGGGAGTTTGAGTTTTGACAGTCCTAGGGTAGATCTACAACAAATGGTATTTGATTTGTAGTAGTTTCAAAAATTCCACTAAGTACAAATTACGAGGTAATGAATTTTTTTAAGGGAAAAGTTTATATGGCGTTGAGGCTCTAAACAATCAAATTAGTGCCCACCTCAAAAATTCCACTTGAAGAGGATCTTTTGATGTTCAAATATCCTCAAATTAATCATCTGGACATCAAGATACAAGTACATGAAAAAAATATGGATTTTAAGTTTTGAAAATAGTGCATCTTGTAACGCATTTTTGGACCGTCAATTTTCAAGTTTTCATAGATCTACTCATTCTACACTATTTTTTAAGCTTTAAATTTTATAATTTAATATAAAAATATATTTTAAGACTATCACAAAGATTTCCAGTATTGAAACCATATTTATTGACACTATTTGAAGGTAGACTCTAATTTGTTTAGAACCTTCTCTCTATACATACGGCACCCTTTTTTTAATAACTACCATAAAATTATTTGGGGCTTTTTTTCTTTTTTTTTAATCTTTTGGAAGACTGATTGAGAAACGGGAAGTGGATTTTGCAACTCGCCCTCCACCTGACCCGATTCCGGGTTTTATGAAACCTACTGGAAAGAGAGGGTTTATTTGGTTGGTCCTACATAATCATGGCTGTGTGCACATTTTACCTTTTCTAGGTGCTAACAAAATGCCTCGTCGAATTTCTTCAAAAAAGCATTTTTCTTTTTCATTTATGCTAACACATGAAAATATATGATATGTTTGGCCATTCTCAAGTAGGTCTATGTGCCTTTTAGAATTTTTAGATCCCAAAAAATGTAATCCTAATTCATTTCAAAATTACGAAGTTCTCGATGGGCTATCCAAGAGTAGATTGGAAACCTACACAATAAAAAACCACTTAGTTTTACACCCAAAACCAAACATGAAACTAATTAATCCATCCATCCACCAAGAGGACCACCAATTGATGCATTAAGTGGTGTGGCCACCATGTTGTTCATGCTTGCAAAACTAGACAATAAATATTTGGAAAATATTATTTAAAGGGTGTCAAAACTTCTTGCAGGAGCTAAACGTTCCCAATTAGCGTTCAAATTCTTTTATTTTTATTTCACTATAGCACCCCTTCAAAAAATATATTAAAAAATGTTTGAATTTGACCTTGTTTAATATTGATAACTCTTAACTTATAGAGACATTTTAATAATTTGACCCACCCCGAACAAATGGGTACTCCCATCACATGCTTGGAGCCTCTTAGGCATGTCGTAAAAGTACTCCCGCTTGTTCAAAGTTGGGAATCCTGAAACAAGGGCAATTTTAATATTTTTTAAAAAATTGATAAGGTCATCATCATCACTAGAACTTTATCCCAACTATTTAGAGTTCGCTACACAAATCATGTTATTTTGCTCTATTAAAGGTCATACCCTCAGTGGACCCATAAGTCCCCCACATCTTTTTGCACTACTTTCATCCCTGTTTTTTTTTTAGCTTTCCCCCTGTCCTTGTAGAGACGTCTACTTGAACTAAATCGCATTTCATTCTTCTTCTTCTTTTTTTAATAAAGTGCCTAAGTGAAATGAAAATTCAAATATAAACCCTCTAATGTTAATTGAGATATGTCGACCACTTTTATGATTTTGTAAAACATCATTAAATTATATTTGTTGCTTGGCCTTGTTGCAATATTGTAATGATGCACCTTTATTTTAAAAATATTGAGTAAAAAATCAAATAAAAACTTATAGTGCCAAAAAGCTAATTAAAAAAAGATGTGGTTATTTGGAATTTGCTACAAAACCAAACCAAAGAAACAAACATAAATGTGTATATTTTTGGGTAAATTTGTTGGTGGAGGGTTGGTAAAAACGATAAATTTATCTATAAAACAAAAGGAAAATTAACTGAAAAAGCCTTTTCTATTTTTGAAATTTAATACAGTCCCGTATATTATATTTTACATTTATGTCCCATTTTTTATAGTGAATATTATATTTTAATTTTATCCTTTTTTTTATATTTCTGACGAAGCTCAAATTTTGTGCACCCAAGCTTCTCACCTAGCACACCCCTAAATATATTAAAAATAAGTAAATTAAATTAAATAACGAAAATAAACCTACAAATTTCAAAGTTTTAGTGGTAGATTGGCTTGATTTATTTATTTTGAAATATTTTGTACACTTTTTTTTTTTTTACAAATATGATATGGTCAATAAGTATCAACTCTCAAAATTTGAGCTCAATATGTATATTAAAAAATTAAATTAAAATCAATATAAATCTTAAAATATGGGACTTGAGTGTGAAATAGGTAAATAAATATTTGGAGGGGAGAGAGGGGGAGGGCGCTAGATAAATAAAAAAAGGGTAACACAACTTAATTTGGAGATGATTTTCAAGAAGCATATTTTCAAGAGTTTTTTTTTATATATAACGATATAGTACGGATATCTTGTTTCATTAAAGAAAGCAATATCTTTTAAGTGGTTTAGTAACAATCATACATTGGAAGGCATCAATTAAATAATTGTCAATCAACATTACGAAATAATTAAGGTGGTTAACTCATCACATTTAACCATAGGCTTCTTTTTTAAAATAAAATAAAAATTAAAATGTTCAAGTATATTATTGAAATATGTGGAGACAAATGAATTCCCATGTTCAAGTATGGAATCCCTGAATAGGAAGGGCATGTTGGTAATTTGGAACTGCTTAACAAAAAGACAAATGATAAAAATACTCTACTTGTTTAGGGCTAGCAATACCAAACTATTAGAGAAACTCATTTTTTTTCATTGTAAATGCTTGTTACATGGTTCTAATGGTAAATAACTATAGCCATTTAGATCATGCCACTTGAGTTGGTGAAATCGCCAAAATGCCCTTTCTTCTTTAGGGTTTCCAATCCCGAGTTGGAAAATTTTGGTCATTTTTGTTGATTATTTTTAAGGTGCCACCTAAGTGAAAGAATTTCTAAAACGGGTA